ACACCCTGGAACAACCTGTATAGTATTGTAAGAAAATATAAAAGTATACACAATATTATAATAATAATATAATATTGTACCACATTCACACAACGCCATCTAGTCCCAAACTAAGCAGAGCTTGTACTATAGGTACTAGACAACTGATATAAATACATATATACTTTTTTTTGTAAATACATACTTATTATTCATAGAAACACCCAGACCAAATCAAACATTAAATGTTCACGCACACAAATGTTTGACTTGACTTATATTATAGGATTCATCACTGACGCGCGGTCGATGTGACCATTGCGTACATTTTTGTATACTACTCTCCCTTTATTATTGTGATGCTTTTTGTGTTGTGTGTTTTTGTTCTATCTGTATTTGCTTTTTGTGCTTTGTGACAATGTAAAACTCAAAGAAGTTTATCCTGCATCTCTATTATTTGTATCATATTAACAAATTTATAAATAAAATAAATAAACAACACAAAATCAATCATGGTAGAGCCATACTTTAGCCCATATAGGCCAGACCCGACTAGTGTTACCACGGCCTCACAAAACACCGGTGTTAAGTAGTTCTTTCGATGATTTTCACCAACTGAGAGAGGTTAGCCTAAATCCTCCCCCCTCTCCTTAATTCTGAAGGGAGGGACTCAAATCTGTGACTTACTTATGTCTATTATTTGCAAGTGTCCATGGACGGTAGTCACTTACCATCAGGTGACCCGTTATAAAAAACCAGTGGCACTCCGGGAGTGCCGACAGAAGTGAAAATTTATATACAGAGGTGTCGGTAACGGTAACACGGTCACGAGTTTAATTGTTTTTCCCATCTCAAAAAGTTCCCAACGCGCCTAAAGAAGTTTTCACTTCAGTATATACAGAGGTGTCGGTAACGGTAACGATTCGAGTATTGCGAGTCTTTGTTTTTTTCCCATCTTAAAACAAAAATACATTATTTTTTTGTTCAAGAATGCCCAACGCGCCAAAAGGAAGTTTTCACTTCAAAAACAAGAATATAAAAAAAATGGAGAAAGCAATTATGCATTAGGGTTTTTCTTCATGTCAGATTCTGATCTTTCTCTCTTATAGCTTGTTTGTTTCCACGTGGATAATTAAGTTAAAGTAAGTGCAATCCGTACAAGCTACGTATCCACTCCTACTAACGAAGTTCGCAGACTGCAAAGCTAACCATCCGAAATAGTTAGTTGCGGCGCATAGATATCGTTGATATAAATTCTATTTACTTTTAGACGACATGTGAAGAAGATTTGAATCACAGAACACAAAATAAACATTAGAAGTGGCATCGATGGTACATCCAAATAGTTGCTTTGTCGCCTAGACGCACAGATAAACCATGAGTTTGTTTGCCCTTTCTTCTCATAAGGCTCAACCCCTTGGAAACGGGCGGTTGTAGATCGGCACTGGCATATCATGGATTTTGTTTGGGTTTCATTTTTGTTAAATTTATTTGCTTACTATTTGACAAAACAGAGATTGTTGCTTTTGTGTGTTGATCTATGACTTTAGAGTCTACATAAAAGACGATTTCAATCAATTTTAATTTTTTTATGAAATAAAGAGAGTTTGAGTTAAGTTTGAGTTTGATAATTATTTGTGATATTTTTTTTGTCATTACTACCTAAAAGCAAATGTTTTTGGACTTGCCGATAATATGATAAATTTGCTTTGTACAAGTTCTATTTCTACACCTAATTATCACGCAACTCAGCATGATGACAAATTATTCACGCAACTACGTTTTCGGCGAAAGTTTTACACGAGTACTAATGTTTTCAGTGGCTTTTGTACGCTCGCTCGTAACTTCGGCGCGCCTGCCACGCTTACTTAGCATTTCTACTGTATTTTCTGTTCTGTGATTTGAATGTACTGCACTGATGGCATAGTGTTCTAAGCGGTCACCTCGCCGCTTCCTGCTGCGCTGAGTGTAGTGGGTGGGATCCCCACATGGGACAACACTTTGTGTGAATCACAAACGAAATTGATAGACAAAAAAAATGAAATCATAATCTTTACTGAAAATACAACAACGAGAAATTGCTGTACAATTAAGGGTGTTTATCAATTAACTAATAAATATTTTGGTTATACCGCATCGGTGGCGCAGTAGTAGCGTATTCGGCTGCTTTGTTGAGGTCACGGGTTCTCTTTCCGGGACTAAATATGGACTAAATATTTGTACGATCTAAAAACATTTGTTTTCTATGTATATGTGTGTATTTACAAAAAAAATATATAAAAGTGTTCTATCAGTCAATCTAGCTTTCTATCTAGCCTCTCCTTAGAAAAGAGATATCCTGATAAACAAACATAAATATTTCTAAAAATATACTTATTATAGATAAATCACACCCAAACACAGAACAAATTATCTTACTCATCATCATCACACAACTATTATCCTGGGTGGGAATCATACTCACGACCTTCGCTTTAGCTTTCTGGGTCACAAACCCCCATATGCTTTCACAGAAACCTTGAATTTAATAAATCATAGAATTTATATTTTAATAAATCATAGAATTTATATTTTAATTAATCATAGAATTTCATCATCAACAGCCTTTAATAGTCCACTGCTGGACATAAGCCTCTCCTTAGAAAGGAGGCATCATAGAATTTAGATTTTAATAAAGCTGTATTATATCAGTAATTCGAAATTTTAAATCAGAATAAGAAGTATTAACATCAGAGTATATTTCATTGATCATCATCGAGATCAAAATCGATCTTAATGTATTAAAATACTTGTAAATTTTTGTTAAATAGTTTCGCATTTTCCTCATACGACTTAATCTTTTAATGATATTATTAGTACCTATGTATGTATAAATTTTCGTTTTTATAAACATCTCACACACGGCCTTCTGATCGAAAATAAGCAGAGACTGTAACCAAACTGTTGATAAACATTCTTACATATGCCTAAATACATACATGTGAAACATTAATTACATTCAGACACAGAACGAATGATCATTCTCATCACATAATCATTTATTTGTCCTGGTTGGTAATAATTTATTTACTTAGAAATGGACAGGATACATCGGAATCCCAATTTAATTGATGAGATTCAACTATAAATAAACGTTTGCTTTATTGGAGCGGCTACTTGGTGAGTGCTATTTCCAAGGATGCGAAAGCTCCTTTGGGGGAGGGGGACAGAGTTTACAACGTCTGCTTAACACAACTTAATTACATGTATTTAATAGTAACTAAATAATAAATAACTTGTAGTAAAATTTTCAAATCGAATCAAAATAAACGAATAAATTCTTTCAAATGATTACAAACATGATGTAACAGCCGCGACGGCTTTAGATGAGCACTTAAACCGCTGAACCATTAACTCATTTAATTTTATCGTCTTTCCTAAAAAGCACGACGCTCTATATGTAGAATTTTTTTATTTTTTTTATTTTGAAAACACTTCTCTTCTTCTCTTAGAAAACACTATTTATTAATAAGTTACTCATACTCAGTTACTCATTCATAAATAGCAGATTACAGGTAGATAGCATTACCCTCCGCCAGCATTGATCGCGGCAATGCGGGGTTTAGTGGGTAGACCGGCTCTCTGGGAGTCCCATACACGTCCTCCGTTTCCCCAACGGAGGGTATGGTGCGAAAAGCATACCACGCGTAAAAAAAAGGTAGCATTGCCCTAATAATTATTGTCTCACGGATTGCGATTCGATTACTTTAATATAGTAGCTAGAATATTAATATTTGTGCACGCCACACTGTATTTGGTGTAATTATACCATACCAACCTTGGTCTACCTAATTAATAAGCTTTCAGGTTATCTATTTTGTGAATTAATTATGGTAATTATTTACTAAATTATTAAAAGCGATTTAAAACTACTTAGTTACATTTCTTTTTTTTTTGCTAAACTTTGTATAAAATCGAAGAACTAATTAACTTTTTGTTCAAGCTTTGAAATGAATGGCTGCTATTTAAACTGTACTAATGAGACTAAGGATTATATTCTATTATAGAGATTTTATTTTTGGATCGTAATTGGTCGTAATAAACATCTCGTTAAATAGTAAAAATAAGCATTAGTTATCTAAACTCTTTTTAAAATACGACTGTGGCTCCGTTCGCCTGTACGTCGACCATCGCGGTAAAGAGTAGCCTATGTCCTTCCCGAAGAATCAAACTATCTTCACGCCAAATTTAATTAAAATTGTGAAGTAAAGCGTAACAGAGAAGAGTTAATATTACTGGGGATGATTTTTATTACTGTCTGTACAAAATGTATACAAAATACATATAGGTATGTACTTATTGAAACCTAACATATGAAATATATTAAACCCAAATAAATTTAAAGCATTAAATCATTCTACCATGGCTAAGGAAAAATCATAAATCATTCTCTCGAAGAATGACAAGAGCAGAATAAAATATGGAATCACATCACACATCAACTGCTTTTAATAGTCCACCGCTGGACATAGGCCTCTCCTTAGGTTTTCGCCTACTATATCACCCTGGCCAGACGGGTTGGTATAAGGTTTGTGTCACGTTTTGTTTCTTTTTTCATTACTGCTGACCTGCTTAGTTCGCTCTTCCGTCACCCACGGGATGAAAAGGGTCACACTTCGTATTCTTTATCCGTCACCACACGGATGGGAAAATATGGAATGGTAATTGATTTGTGAAATGAATCAAATAGCGTTAAAGGAGATTTAAAAAAGATCTTGTAGAATATTTTATATTCTAAACCAGTGTTTAAAAATGTATAAGGAATAAAAACTTTTACTATCATAAATATGAATTAAATGTTAACATTAAATGTTTAAATTGAATGAATGAGAGCAACAATGGTCAAACCACGATGTCATCGTAGTTCCCAATGAAAAGTTATATTGAGAATATATAAACTTGGTATAAACGTTACTTCCTTTACACCGAACATTCCGTTTTACATAAAGTTCTAACTTTTACATCACATTTAAACAACTTACCTAATGCAATCCATCCTGAGACAAAAAGCCACACTTTAATTCCCAACATTGTCACAAATATTCACTGTACCGATGTTTCAGGAACACTCCAGTGTCTGCGTCGCTTCATTTGTGTAGTTGCACTGCACTTGACCATCACTCAACACACACTCATTAAATTTGCATTCCACGTTCACAGCACTTTTAAGGTTGAGATCTGAAACAAGGAAAATAATTATTTATTTAATTTAGATTCACTATTTGACACCTACATCTGTACGTATGCATTGTGTACGGTGTAACTAAGTACATATATTATTCTGAGATTATACTAACGTTCGAATACTTTTTTTGTTTACAAAAAACATGTGTAACATCATAAACAAGAAAGAAAAATGTACAGAAGCGAGCTTAACGCATATTTGAGTTTTCTTCCAGCAAATTTTCTTAGTAAAGTGAGTGTGAAGTTATGTGTAAGTTAAAGTGAAGTCAATAAATATAAACTAGGTAGGTACTAAACATATATAGGGGTAGTATTTACACATGAAGGGTAAGCAGTGGATAAAAATAATGAACAAAACATATACTTAAATGTTTTTTAAGTGTACATAATAGTCTGTGTATTTAAGAAGACGAGTGATAGAGAAGAATGTATAAAGAAAACTCATAGCGCTGATCAAAAATAAATTTTGAAAAAGGGCGGGTACGTAATGATGATAATGAGAGAAACTTCAATTCAATTTCAGACGTTAAAATTAATCCAGCTACTAGGCATAATTAACGTTAAATGAATAATTAAAAGTTCCTTGTTATCAATTTTGGTATCCACATACATTATGTTACTAGCTTTTGAGCTTTTGCCAGCGGCGCCGCCTATGTTACTCGCTGGTAGCCTGGCTTTCCATTGGTGAACGGATTTTTAAAATGGTTTAATGGTTTAGGCGTGAAAGCGTAACAAACAAACAAACTCACTTTGACATTTATAATATCAGTATGGACTATTAGTCGGGACGGACAAACATACATGAATGTAGGCAAGTTAGACAAGTAATCCTTTTTATTTTACTTTACCGCATTCGGATAAAATAAATCCTAAATTAATATAATCATTATAGGCATGTGTGTATGATTCAATTATGGTACTATACTTGCGAAATACAAATGATGACAAAACCATTGACCCAATAAAGGTACACTGTGAAGGTCATTATAAAAACACATTAAATAATAAACTCGTCTATAACAAAAACATTGTATTCTAATTTTAGACTTATACGAATTTTGTCTAGACTCTACATAAAGATTTCGTCGTTTGGAGTATTGTAAGTAAACAAACAAAGTATTAACTATAATTTGTTTGGTTTGTAGAATATAATATTGAACAAAAAAAACAAACAAAGTCTGTGCTGTACATGTAAACATTGCCAAAATCTTGCCTACCCTGTGCTTTTTTGTGCTAGCAAAGATACATCAAAGTAATGTACTAAAGAATTGTATCATAAACTATATTTGCCCACGGCTCCGCCCGCGTGTATGTACACTCGAGTGGAGCCGCAGGCAAAAGCTACTTTAAAATAAAAACCCAGTAAAAATACATACTCAACTAAGACAATCTCTCCTTGTGAGGGATTGTAGAGACACTAATTTTTAGTTATTAGGGCTCAGAAATTATAATTTGGCCATTCTCTAATAAAACGTCACAGGCCTGCGCTTATGGAGGACGGAGGTCATTCTGCGACCTCCGGCGCCTGAGTCGCCTGCGCTGCCTGGCCCGTGCCCGGGCCTGGCGGGCCGGGAGAGTTCTAAACCTCTCCCGGTCCCGCTCCGCCGTCTCCTTCGCGAGCATAACTTGCTCGCAGAAGGAGACGGCAGAGTTCCACGCACTCTCGCTCCGCACGATAGCCGCAATCAGGCTATCGAGCGAGAGAACTCCCACTCCGATGGCCGCCACGAGGTCTCGCCTCTGCTCAACCCACGCCGGGCACTCTGCCAGCGTGTGGAGAGCCGTGTCCACGGTCACTATAGTGCCACCTATGCTTTAGATGAATCACCTTAACAACCACTTCCACATTGAATGTTTAATTCCTCAAACACGCACTCACACCAAATACATACACAGAAGTACTCACGTACACTTACCACATGTTAAAAATAGTAGCAAGTAAATTTCAATTGGACTTGTTAATTTTTAACTATATTTCGGAAAATTCAGTATTCAATGAGCAACAAAGGAGCCATGGGGTGCAAGAAAGGAGCCTCCCCGAGTGACGTATCCACTGATCTACTATACGTCCGGCGCACCCTGGGCAGTCAGCGAATCCCCACGCTGACTGGCTAATCCTTTCACCACGATGACAATTCCAAGTCCTCCAACAACGCCGGCTTTGTGCGTAGTCTCGATTAACATCGAAGGGTTCTCTCAAGATAAATCCGAAATTCTTTCCGATTTATGCCGCAAAACTGGCTGCGACATTCTTTGCGTTCAAGAGACCCATCGAGATGAAACCCAAAGCCGGCCACACATCGATGGACTCACGCTTATCGCCGAGATCTGTCACCCAAAGCACGGTAACGCAGTGTTTGCTGCTCCAGGCGTAAGCATACTTTCCACCAAATGCTCAAACGAGTACGGCATAGAAATTATCACAGTAGATGTTGGTAATTGCTCCATCACTTCCATTTATAAACCACCCGGCACCACATTTAACTTCACTCCGCCAGAGAACTTTAGTAGCCAGCCAATTAAAGTTGTAATCGGTGACTTTAACAGCCGCAGCACCAACTGGGGTTACAACGACACGGATATGAGTGGAGATGCAGTCGAAGAATGGGCTGAGTCGAATGATTTGGCACTAATCCATGACGCCAAACAACCGGCCTCTTTCAACAGTGGTCGCTGGAAACGCGGGTACAATCCTGACTTAATCTTCGCTAGCTCTTCTATCAGCTCACAGTGCACTAAAAGAGTGTGTTCACCTATTCCTCGCACTCAACATAGACCAATTATGTGCTGCATCGAATCCGTGGTCCGATCTATAAATGTCCCCTTCAAGCGCCGATTCAACTATGCCAAGGCTGATTGGGAGTCGTTTACGCAGTCGATCGATGACGCCCTGTTGAATGTCCCACCAACCCCGCACAACTACGACCAGTTTGTCGAGATCGTGTCAACTTATTCCCGAAGACACATCCCAAGGGGATGCAGGACTTCCTACATCCCGGGGCTGTCAACAGATTCCAGTGAATTACTGTCGCGATACGAATCACTGTTCCGATCCGATCCTTTTTCTGAGGCAACCACACTTGCTGGAGAATTGTTGCTATCTAAACTAGGCGAAAACAGACGAGAGAGGTGGACGAATACTGTTACAAGCATCGACATGACTCACAACAGTAAAAAGGCTTGGAGTACGATTCGAAAGCTGACCGGTGAGTCCCCTCAACCCGCACCGCCAAGCCAAGTCACCGCAAACCAGATAGCACATCAACTACTTGTTAATGGCAGACCAACACGCCGTTCCAGTAGGACTCCAAAATCACAAAAAACTGATGGCGTTGGTGACGATATCAGTAAATCATTCAACGTTACTGATATCGTTACAGCGATAGGTTGCCTTAAGTCTGGTAAAGCCTCTGGAGTCGACGACATCTCAGTCGAGCAATTAAAACAGCTTGGCCCAGTTGCTGTGCCGTGGTTGCTGCAGCTTTACAACAATTGCCTGAGATCAGCTTCAATACCCCGTCTCTGGAGAAAATCTAAGATCATTGCAATCCCTAAGCCAGGTAAAGCAGCAGACGATCCTAAAAACTTTCGCCCTATCTCTCTACTATGTCACACATATAAACTATTCGAGAGACTGCTGCTGAGCCGTCTTACGGGCGTCATTGACCCAAAACTGATTCCCGAGCAAGCTGGTTTCAGACCCGTGAAGTCTTGCAGTAACCAGACTCTTAAAGTGGTACAACACATTGAAGATGGCTTCGAGAGAGGAATGGTCACTGGTGCTGTATTCGTGGACCTATCAGCTGCCTACGATACAGTCAACCTCAAGAGGCTGTTGTGGAAGGTGGAAACCTTGGTTAACGATCAAAATTTCATCCGCATACTCCGAGAACTTCTCCACAACCGCCGATTTCAAGTCCACCTTCTCTCGGAAAAAAGTCGTTGGAGAGCACAGAAAAACGGCCTACCTCAAGGTAGTGTCTTGGCACCGCTTTTATTTAATATCTATACCAATGACCAACCATCCAGCCCGCATACCTCCCGCTTCCTCTATGCAGACGACCTAGCCCTTACCTCCCAAGCCACCACCTTTGAAGAGGTTGAGGTGTCTTTGTCAAACGCTCTTGGTGACCTAGCCACTTACTACCGCGCTAACTCACTCAAGCCCAATCCGAGCAAAACGCAGTCGTGCATATTCCATCTTCGCAACAGAGAGGCGAGCCGCAAACTTAACATCGTTTGGGGTGGGGTACCCATAGAGCACAGCAACTTTCCAAAGTATCTGGGTGTTACTCTGGACAGGTCTCTAACATTCGGCAAGAACTGCAATAACATTAAGCAGAAGGTACACTCTCGCAATAGTCTTTTGCGGCGACTAGTCTCTTCAAAGTGGGGTGCTTCGCCTGACGTCATGCGGACTACTGGGTTGGCGCTATCTTTCTCTGCGGGTGAATTCGCGTGCCCCGTGTGGGGTCGTTCAGCCCATGCAAAGTTAGTGGATACAGCACTGAATGAAACGTGCCGGATAATCACTGGCTGCCTCAAGCCGACCCCGGTACAGATGCTGTATCCACTGGCAGGCATAGCGCCTCCAGCAGTTCGCAGAGCGGTGGCGAGCTCTAGTGAAAGTGCCAAAATGGTCTCCGACGCTAGACACCCTCTACACAATAATATCATAGTACCGCAAAGGCTGAAAAGCCGCAACAGCTTTTTAAAGTGTGTACCCCCGCTCACTGGTGAACGCTCTAAGGAAAGACTTAAGTTGTGGCAAGATAGCGTTTCCTTACCCAACCCATTTGTGCCACTTGCCGAAAATCTTCCACCTGGACACGAGTTGCCATGGCTGA